CCCTTCCCCCCCCCCCCCCCCCCCCCCCCCCGTGAAAAAGGACACCCAAGGTGCTGTGCCCCAATTGTATGTTTTTTCCCCTGAAATCACCATTTCTCGAACTACACATATTCCAAATTTCAGCCTTCTTTCTTGTATGAAATATACCTATACTCTGCAGGAGTCAGTCATGATCATTTAACCTAGATCCCAGGCTGGAATATACACAAATTTTTTGCAAGGGGTAACAGTAGGGAGAGTGTCAGCTTACTGCAAAAGTTGCCCCTGGAAGTATCCCTTTCTATTAGACCTCTTTTCAATACAACTGAAACAGACACTTGGCACCATCAAAGAATCAAGAAGTTCTTTCCCCTTCCCCAAGAAATACTCATCTACAGTATTTCAACTATCATATCTGTCCAATTCAATGAAGCAAAAAAAATTCTTAGAAAACAACCCTCTGAAAAAAAAAGTGCCTCCCAAGTGCCTAAAGGTCTTTTTTTTCCTGAACTCCATACCCCAACAAGGGTGTACAAAGTTCCAGCTTTCTGTAACAAGAGTATAAAAAACTTTATGGGGAAAGTCTCCCACAAAAAAAAAAACTTTGAAGGGATGTATTTAAAAAGAATGATTTTTCCTGAACTTAGCACCCCCAAAAGGTACTAGAGTACCAAGCTTCAGCTTTCTATCACATCTAGAACATGACTAGAAGTGCCATCAGGTTTGTGACCCTAAAATATACTACCATCACCAGCAGGCATTAGGCATTATAGCACTGTGGCACACCACATCTACTATGAAGTAAATGCTACATTTTCATTTATTTCTCTTATTAAGCATTTGAGAGGATTGATTCATGCTTTTATTCTCCTTTTCCTCACCTGTATGAGTGTACATATGCCTGGCAAGGGTTCCTTTGTCAGCACATCGTGCCCCACACACTGGGCAATCATGGCAAGGACCCTCCCCATGAACAACTTTTTTGTGCCTCTCCAAGCTGGCCTTCAGGCGGAATTTCTTCTCACATTCTTCCTCCTCACATAGGAATTGCCCTTCCTGTTTGAAAGGCACCACAAAAATGAACACCTCTTTTTCTATAAGAAAAAATGTTAAGGGAACATTTGTGTATCTGGTAAGCTACAACACTGACAGTGATTCAGTTGTTTTCTTATAGAAAAGCAATGGTTCTGGGGGGAGAAAGGGTTGGGGTGGAAGACACACCAGTTGGGAGAGAGGCCAAGGGAGATACAAGGTCGAGGTTCAAGGAGATTGAAGGAAGCGACCTGATAGTGGGGAGTGGGAGTAGACCTATATTCAGCAACAGTCTTCAACATGGGGGAATGAGAATCTCAGGCAATTAGGAAAGTCTTCACTACAGCCCACCGTATGAGCAGTCTCGAGGTCTTCTCCACAGCAGTGACACTGTCCCTCTTCGACGGCATCTGCAGCTGTCTGGTCTATGAGAGTGTTCACTTTCTGCAGCAGTTTTCCTGGAATCAAAATGGACCTCAATTACAAATATAAGAATAGATAGTCTGAAATGTATATGGGGATATTTAGCAAGATATTACAAAAGCATAGTGATGGCCTATAAAAATGAACCAACAAGACAAAGGCTGAGATGAGAAAACAGGACTTCATGCAAGAACCTTAGGCCAATTAGATCCCAGATGACAGCCAACCTTTCATTTTGGACGATAAATTGATGTCACCTCCCTCTTCTTCTTCATTGAATTCATACACCTCCCCACCATCTCGGTCATTCTTTCCAGATGAGCACCTATTTCCTTCTCTTCTGGGGGAGACCTCCTCCTCTGTCTCCCAGTCGTCATCATCATCATCATCATCGTCGTCATCATCCTCCTTCTGTAGGCCTAAGTCTTGCAACTCGTCTGAAATTATTAACAATTTCCTCACCGATTAATACGCGAGTAAGACATGATATGAACATATGGTACAGCCAATAACTTTTTCTTTATCCCAATCTAATGGTATGCCACTCTTGCAGGGGTCGAAGCTTTGGTAGGCAACGGGCTTACCCCAATGAATGATAGTGTTTAGGTATCTCTCATATGCTTAGGCCAACAAACTCCCTGATAAGTCTGTAGAGGGCTAGCCTTGACCCACCTTCATCTTTGCTGATTTTTGCAGACAATCTCACACTGCGTCTTCGGGGGGAAGACGTTTCCCGGCTATTCGTCTTCTTCTTCTTCTTCGCACCCATATTGATAGCTTTGATGTTTTCTGAAAGTTGGAGCCGATTGAGATCAGTGCACCCAGAAATGTGCTCACTTCGAGTTAGGCAGCTCTGATGGACTCATCGGCCAACCATTTCTGCCATCCCAACAGGGAGGCGCTACCCGGAGGTAAAGCCGTAGAGACCTCCTCGACTCTGATTCCCATCCGCGGGAAGTCGGATGCATCAACTCCACTTGGACCGCCAACACTGAAACCAGTGAATCCCCCAACCACACCTCTCCAAACGGCGGTAGTCGACTCGCCTGCGATTGGTCCAGCCCGCATTGCTGCCTTGCTAGCCTCTTCTTTTCACGGCTGTTCCCCTTATCGGCGTGCCTCACAGGGGTCTCTCTATTCCCTTCTCCCCCTCCTTTCGGTTAATTTTTCTCATCAAAATTCGTTCCCCCGTGGAACCCTCATCCCTGCTGGCGACCCGAAATTCCTTTCTACCTGCGACTTTCCCCGTAAGAAAAAAAATTCTTAGGGTGCATTTTTGAGCAGGCCACCTCTCTCAGGCTCTCACCTTTGACTGATCCTTGATCTCATTTCCATTTTGAGCACTTCCTCAACCATCAGCGGCGTAGTGTCGTCACGTACCTTCCCCCCCCCCCCCCCCTTTCCAGAGAAAGATGCATAAGTAAGAAGGAAAAGACGCATGAGAACACCCTCTCAGAATTCCCATGGCCTCACCACCTCACTTCCTTCTCCCATTCACGCTCAGGGCTGACCAGATGGGGGGGGGGGACGACAATCTGTCCTAGGCCTCACGTATCAAGGGGGCCTCCTATGCTATGAGACCAATTTTACACGGGACAATTAAGTGGGGCCTCAGACTTGGATTTTAGTCGCTGCTTTGAAAGTTTACAGAATGCGTTTCCCACTTTCGCTTAATTCTCTGGGAGCATAGATTTTCGAACCACCAGTTGCAAAAAAAAACAAAAAAACAGGGAGTGTACGTACATTGGCAGAAAATCTGCTAATTCCACACAAATAATTGCATGACCCGTCAGTTCAGCCATGGTCGATATGTATGTCTCCCAGCGAGTTTCCCAGTATTAATGCGCGAATGCAAAAAAAAATCCAAATAAAAAGGTAGAAAAGATTCGCCTATAAATCACAGTATTCCAAGGAATGCCCCAAACAGAAAAGAACACTTGAGCGGCAAACGAGACACCATGCGGTTTTAAAAAAATCCCTTCCCGGGGAGAAGCAGACGATGCTGAGTGGGATTTCAGGTGACGTCACTTGTTGTCATGGGTTCGGCATGGCGTCTCCCATTGATCAGTGTTCCCAGAGCCCTTGCCAGCTCGAGATCATTTTGGTTGACAGTGTCGGGGAAGTAGAACATTGACGTACGCTTATGAAGTATCAAATTGCAGTTACTTTGATGAAAATCTATACCTAGTTAGCTATGAGTAAAAGTTTGACCACCTTTCATGGGAATCAACTGCCATGAGGTTTTCCAAAAGTTAACGTTAATCTAATGTAAGGCATAGCTAGCAACGAGAATGTGTGTTGGCCTACCGCCTTGGAATTCACGACTACAACCTGCTTCAGTGTGTAGATGCAACTTATCTGCATTAGCGTGTGGGTCTGTGCCCAATACTGACCTTCCTGACCTCAAAGGTAAGTGAGAGAAGTAGAGACTTTATATTAATGCACACTATCACCTGGCACTAGTCCCTGTCTTCTGCATCTGGTAGATCCCACAGAACCACTTTTCCACACTCCCCTTCCCTTCCAATACTAGTCCTCTTTGCACTCTGGGAGTGGAGCAAGTAATTCTCAAATGTCATGGTGTTTTCAGATTGACTTTCTTCCTCAATTCACCATCACTATTGCTCTTCTCAGCAGTACTTAAACTCCCAGTGATTGTAATTGTCACTACTAGCAGAGAGGCACAGTTATGAGTCAAAAGAAAGGAGTGGTATTTCTTCCTGAATTGGGCTACTTACTTTTCAATTAGAAGTTTAAGAATTGAGCACCTCATATAAAGTATGAAAAGCAAATATAAATGGGAAGGAAATTCAATATGAAAATCTTGTAAACCTCATCCTGTGCTTCTTTTTCTGCTAGAAAAAAGATGTTACTGAGACAGGGTTAGAATCCACAATGAGGAAAATGCTCTTTCTCTGTGTCAGGCCTATCCATTGATCATGATTAGGAACTATCGGCATGCAAGGAACATATATACCAGGTGAGATGCTGCTCTTTGAAATTTTGTGGCATCTCTGAAATAGCAGCTAGATTTATGAAATTCCATTCATACACATCTCTACAGATCCTTTGAGCATTAGAAAATTTTTGGCTTGTTATCTCCAGTCATACTGGCACAAGTATGCCATACTGGCATGCCTACCAACTATGCTTCTGCTGATATATTTCCTTTTGCAAAAATAAAATTAGAGTTGCCTTCATGTTTTCACTTCTGTGCTAAATTGACTGGAGAAAAATGAACAAGAATTTTAGGATGTTTCAAGTTTACATAGAAGTTGTTGCAAAAAAATTTTTCATGCTATCTTCCATCTCATGAACTCCAATTAATCTCAAAGAGTGGTGTGTCTTACCTGGTATATATGAGGTGCAGTCAGAAATTCCATACCGCACACTTCTAGCATACATTTCTGGAATTAGTTGGAATAAATTACAGTTAGACAAGGTATTATGATCAGTTGTGAGTCAGACAGCACATTGTGAACATAGTTGGTATTGTTGTTTGTGTGCAGCATCGGTTTTTCAACACAGAGTTTCCCCTACTGTCCCTGAGCAGTGGACTTCGCAGAGGAAGAACCAAGAACTGTGATCCGTCAGGCCCCTTCCAATGAGAAAGTTCTTTACGCTATTTTTCTGGACAAACAGGGTTTAGTTCTACCTCACATAGTTCCTGAAGGTGCAACCAATAATGGAAGCTACTACAAACATGTGTTACAAACAGAGCTTTTACCAGCAGTAAAAAAATTGCATCCATTGAAGGCCAATGATTGGTTCATTCTTCACCTGGACAAGGCAGGTGTTGTAAGGGAGATTTTTTTAGAAAATGGTATCGATGCCTTTCCCCATCCCCAGTACTCACCAGACTAGTACCCTATGACTTTTGGGTGTCCTCAGAACTCAAGGATTTGTTACAGAGGAAGATGTATGGCTCCCGACAAGCCCGTGGTACTGCTGTTTACCAGTGGTTTAAACATACACCTGAGGAAGCATTTGTTAAGTTCTTCAGTAATTGGCAACTAAGGTGGAAACTGTGTAGGTAAAGCAGGTGATTATGTTAAGAAGTGACTAGAGTTTCTATTCAGAACTCCTGACTGTAAATGAGATATGGCTTGACAGTATGGACTTTCTGACTGCACCTTGTATATATGCCCACAGTTTACATTAATACATGGTCCAGCCTGTCACATTCAATAATAATGTATATGTTATCTATCTTGATGTATTTACCAAATTTCCTCTAATAAGCTATTTAACACTCTTGCTGCTGAAGGTGACTCAAGTCACCTAGACTAACATGTAAATTAAATAATTTGGCAGTAAGAGTGTTAACTTAAGTACTGTTTACTGTAATTCAGGGTTCAACCCAGGAAATTTTTTTACCTGGGCAGGCTTATTGATTTACTGCTGGCATGGTCACATCCAACAATTTCTTATATGTGGTCTTTACCACCTCAAACTTTTTCTAATCCAATTTGAAGAAAATAAAAATTATTTTAAGAAACTTCACTGGAGTGTCACAGGCATGATTCATATTTATTGCCAAAGTGTTCAGGATATGAGGAAAATACTAGCACATTTCATCAGCTTCTGCAGACAGACATGACCTCTAAATATTGGAAGCCCTTGAGAGAAGAACCTTGATGGACAGTGCAAGGTTGTTCAGTGATGAGACCTTCAAATGATTTCTCACTTGTGTTTTAATGTGCTCAAGTGTAGAGAAGGTTCATTTGCAAAATGTGATAAACAGGAAAAGCAATCATGGCTCCCTCACTTTCAAAAAATGAACATGCACCTGACAGTCATGCCCACTAATAGAAAACTGTAGGTGAGAGACTGATGGACAGAGAGAAACATTAAGTGTTCCTTGATTCAGCTTGTGAGAAGGAAAGGAAGATGTGAAGGCATGCAGAGGTGGATTTCAGGGTGGGATTGGAGAAAAGAGATTTCACATTTGTGCTATTTCCTGTGCCCCCCATTTTGGATGGACTACTTGAATATAGGCTTATACTTGTGCTCAACCAGCTGGCTAGTCCATCCTACCACAGAGCTAATAGCAATGGGGTCAACTCAGCAGTTCTAATTCAGTCTCCAATGGCTGAGGATGTGCCAAGGAAGAAAGACCCTGAATTGATGAGCAGCAGCTTCTTTTGTTTTCTTTTAACTGGGCAGCTATGAAATTTCTGAAATTATGACTGGGTGACCCACCCAGTATGTAAGACCTAGCTCTGCTAATACCTACAGTAAAATTGGTAAATAACGTTTTAGGCTGACTATATTATCAAGATCATTTTATATCCCTGGAAACTCTCCCATACTAATGCATTTGAAACCATAGATAGGAGACAGGGTCATTTTTACATTTTATCCTGAATAATTGGGTTTTCTGATCAGAATTGAGTCTAAGTGAAGGTATTGCTGAAGGATATTGATTGTATCTGATTAGGGAGTCTCCCATCTGAGGTGAATTGAAGCAGCAAAAAGGTAGAATTCTTCAAAGTTAACATATGTTGTCAATCTTCAACTAAGGTCAATGACTCCATGATCTTTACGACGTCATCTGATGTGCCTTAAACATCTTTTCCTGTTTCTGGGAAACCTTCATAAGACCAATGAAACAATAAATTTTATGCACTATTTATTGTGGGAAAATTTTGATTTTAATTAGTCAGAGGCGTATGCTGACTGGAGACCCCACCCCCCATTGGGTTTTGGCCCAAGAGAAACCCAATGCCACGTTTCAGCCAAATCCCAGCTGACCATTCCGTCAAATTGCTCATATTTTCGGTGCACATCCATTCACTAAATTCGTGCTGAAAAGAAAACTTCTGCCAAAAATGCATGCCCAACTATGGGGCAGAATCGTTATGTAGTTAGAGCAACGAAGATGCAACACGCACAAAAGTTGGAATGAAATTGGTACG